GTATAAAACATAAAATGACTTTGAACATGAAATAAGGCATAGAAACACATAAATGTATTCAAAATAAATTATATATCCAGCTGTTCTACTATCTCTATATTTAAAAAATAAAATAAATATACTTTTTTTTTATATAAAAAATATCCACAAATAAACTTTGTTAAGCTTTATTGTTTCAACTCGATTAGATGAGTTTGGAGATCGTTTGACACACAAAATTGCGATCAAAATTCTATTAATTGCACAACCTTATCTCAGACTCAAAACACTCTATTCCATCTTGTGGTGTCGTGCGGTATTACACAAGTGCTCCACTGTGTTTTTGAACACCATATCTTCGCTTGAATCACTTGGCAATTGTCGGTCTATTGAACAAAATTAAAATGTAGCTTAAAATGAAGCTTACTTGAAAACTACCGCTTCTTGACATCACAAGGTGGAGCAGAACATTTTAAGCTTTGGAGTTGTAGAGAGACTAATAATAAAGTATTACTCAAACATGAATGAAACAAAATAACACATCTTCATGTATGTTTTTTGACGCGTTAACAACACTGAATTTTCAGCAGAAAATTCCAATCATCTGCTATCAGCTTGCGCCTTTTTACTGTAATAGAGAGATCTACAGCCAATGCTCTGAGTAAAAGCATGTGGTTTGGAGCAAAGTTCAGACACTGGAGGAAGAATCTGACTATTTTGAAGTCTTGTTTATGTTGAGGAAATAAATATCTTATCATACTTATTTGTCTTTAATAAGTCAAATCAAATAAGCATATATGATCGATCAATATGAGTCACATTGCCCTGCCCTATAATTTGATTAGATGGGTGTTTTTTATTATCATTGTGGTTTTGAGGTTTTTCCTTTGAATAGAAATTGAGTTTGAAATTTTAATACCATGTCATGTCATTTCCTTTGGGTTACTTAAATTCCAGTTATGTTTTCGATGAGGTAACAACATTGTAACATGGCTTAAACTCACAAGAGTAAATTTTGTGTAATATAGGATCTTTGCATCGTAATTGAATTGTCACATAAATATGACAAAATTTGACCTTTTTTATTGTAGTATTTATGATCTATGAGCTATATTAGAACTAGTATAAGACCACATGCCTAATTGTGCGTCTAAAAGAGAATGTTTTTTATTATCTTTGTGGTTTCTAGGCTTTTCCTTTGAATAGAAATCGAGTTTGAAATTTTAGTATCATGTCAACATTATTACACTCCAGAGGAAAGTTTCATTTCCTTTGGTACTGTGTGTTGTTTCACTGTTTTGGAGAGAGAAATTTGAAGGGCGCGAGCTTGTTGGGGATGCGGTGAGGGTCCCGTCTGCCTGATGTTATCCTCTGACTGGGCACTAACAATCCGGGTTGGTTTTGGGGAGCTGTGACTCATGATTGGGCTGTTTGTGCCTCTGCCAAACTTTCAATCGCCGTGTTTTCTGTTGCTGTGGCTGCCGGCGCGAAAAATGTAAACAGAAACTAAACTTTCTTTTTAATCTCTCCAGAACATATCACATTGTGCATAAATATTTTCACACCATTTTGTCTAAATAAAGTATTACATTCATAAAATTGTCCAACTAAACTGCATTTCTGTCTAGCTTTTAACCATTTTGCAACACATCCTTATTCATTTGTGCATGTTTCTTTAATATCTCCCTCTCTAGAGCCCAAAAGCTTGCCTCTCAATGGTTTAATTAAGGAATCCATGAAATTCATGTTTTTAAAGCCCATACCCCTTCACTAAATAGTATGACCATTAGAGCGCAAATGTCTCCACTGAGCATTTAAAGCTTCAGTATTACACAAAACTGACTCTTTTCAGCTTTAAGCCATGTTACAGTGTTATTACCTCATCAACAATAAACCTTAAGTTGTGTGTTTGTTTCATTCACACATGATTGAGTAATCATGGATTGCTAGACTGTCTGCTAGCCTGATTCATCAGCCGGTTATACGTTGTGGAAGCCATTAGGATTTGTTTGCTCGACAGTAGGAGGGTTCTTTTTTTATTTAACCAACCGCTGCTATTGGTCATGACGTATGTAATGCACCACTAACAGGGCTAACTGGTATATTAAGCTTTTCCAAAATCCCGTAGGAAGAAGGGCAATAACTTCTTTCCCCGTGATAAAATTCACCAAACATTCTTTTTGTTCCGGCTTTAAATCCTCGATCTCTGTAATAGTTGCCAACACAGTATGTATGGCTTTGTCTACATCCATCTCAACCGCTTTGTTTACTGTTGTGCTGTGCCACAAAAGGGACCCAGTCATGGCTTCACAGCTCTTTGCTGATTGGCCAGTGTGTGGTCTACAACTTCCCGGTTTCTTGCAAACTGTTTAGTGTATTCCAATTCCTGACCTAGTCGCTGGAGAGAAATTAAACTGAGCGAAGGCACTAGGTGGCACCAACCTGGCTAACTGTCTGCCCTGTTCCACCTTGTAATGTCATGTAGTGGTAGTTTTCAAGTTAAAAGTTACTGTACCTTTTACCTTTTGTTCACTAGAGACTTCAAGGGTGAAATGATTCTAGCGCATGTGCATGGAGTTTAAAAACACACATGTGAGAATGATACAAAACACAACTCCGGGTAAGTTTTTGATAAGAAAACAACATTATAACATAGATCAGAAAACAGCGGCACTTTAAAGTATGTTGGCAGTAGCTCCCATGGTTTTAGCTTCATAACTACTTTCTTATCCGCTCCTTGATGACATTTTGTATCATAAACATGTCATGCCATGCCAGTTCTTTATACTTGTCATATTAAATATATTTTATTACACTTACAGAAAACCTCCAGTATTATATTTCACTCTTCATCATTACTATGCCATGTTGGCTGTTCTGAGTTACTAAATGTTATTGCTTTTTATGACAATGATAAAAGTGTATTGAAACTTGAGATAATATTGCCAACATGCCTAGGGCTCATGGCTTCTGTTGATGATGAATTGTTGATACATATTACTCGACATCACTTCCCAAATACTTTGAACAAATAAATACAAGATTTGGAGGCAGTCATATGTTTACCTTATTACAATTTAGTGTGACAAAAATGGCGCAATTCTGTGAAAGTTATTAAGGTCAACAAAGTGAAAAATTGTCCTGGGGCACAGCTGTTTGACTGAGGAGTGTAATGATTGTCATATGCTTTAGCTCATACTGGGCCCAGACAGCTTGGTTTGATGAGAGGCTCTGGTCATTGGCTAACCGCGTACATAGCAACAAGACCCCATGGAGACGGGCCAAACAAGTCCGCCTTGTTTTCACCATGTTCTGCTTTGATTGACAGGAAGAGTGTAGCATTTTTCTCTTGACATTTTCAAAAGAATCTATTTTAAGAGTTTCAAAACTACCCATTCATTCAGTGTCTCATAACAGAAGATAGAAGTGTGAAAAAATAAACTTGGGCCTGATAGTGGCTGTAACCTGTAATCAATAATACTTATATTGTGATGCATACACTGTAATATAACTGTTCATGGTGGAGTGGAGCATAAGCATTAGACCCTGATACTTAGAACTTGAAAATGATGTTCAAAACTTTTTTTTCTCCAAGGATATGTTGTTTTGCCTGGAAAGTTCCACAGAATGGTAAAAAACATCCATGGAGACAAACAGGTGACTTCTCCAAACCAAGTATCTTTTCCACTATAAAAATTACTCTAGTTGAATTAATGAAAGATTTAAAGGTTTATACAGTACTGAATATCCCAGGCAACGCAATACCATTTTCAGTCATGAGACAAGAAGGTGACTAGCCAGGCTGGCGCCACCTAGTGCCTCCACTCAATTTCATTTCTCTCCAGCGACTAGATCAGGAATCAGAATACACTAGATGGTTCGCAAAAACCCTGGAAGTACGAGTTCGAGCACCAGCCAATCAGCGAAGAGCCATACATTCTGTGTTGGCAACAATTAGCGAGATAGAGGATTTAAAGCCGGAACAAAGAAATATTCAGTGAATTTTATTGGTTGGCCTCTGTGAGTGACACGTGGATTTAACCAATCACAGTCAAGTATGAACTCTCAAAAGGAGCAAATAATTTATATTTCCTTCTGAAGGCTTTATAAAATATTACATGTACATGAACAATGATAAAATCCAACGTGTGACTTTTTTGCCACATCGCTCATTTCTATTTCTAAATATAATTTAGTTGTTACTTGTGACAATGACATTAAATCCCTTGAATCCTGAATAATTAGGTACTTTTAATAGTTATTTTGAAAACTAACACATTTTACTGGAAAAAATAATCTTGTAAATACCGAGAATTTCCTGAAGGGCTACCTCCTCAATCAGCTGCTGTGTAAACACCATTTGTCTGTCCCTGTAATCATAGCTGTCACTTGTGGATTAATATTTATTCCCATAATGCAATCAAACATGGACTGGGCTGTTGGTTAAGCCTCGCTAAAGGGTCTCCCCTGAGGCTGGCGAGCTCTGATGGCTCGTCATCTCCCTCCCATCACACATTGTTTATCTCACCCTTCTCTGGGGGAAAGAAAGTCCTGCACTAGCCATTGTTTTGCCTTGGGAACCCTGCTCGCTGCCTTTCTCACTCCCGTCCCTCGCTCGCATGGCCATATGGTTGTCATAGTCTTCCTGGAAAGTGGAAACCCAAGCCATGTTAGCTTTTACTGTATATCTCAAAGTCTTTTTTCAGCCCCAGTGATGACATTAATTAAAACAATACTATGATGGATCAGGCTGGAACATGTTTCACTGCAGCCAAAATCGATCAATCCTAGCCATAGAAAACAGTTATTCTTGCTGTATCATTTATGATCGCTGCAAAACATTTTAATAAACACTTCAGTAAAAACAGATTCTCAATAAAACAGGTCACACATGTGGTTGTCTTTTAAACGCCACACTCGCTCAAGGCTCCATCCAAGCTTTTGATTTATAACTTATTAAATGTTCTTTTTGGGGGATGCCAGGTTTTAATCGAACATCTTTCTTCTTTTTATTCTTCCAGAGTGCTACACGGCTAACGGAGAGGACTACAGAGGGTTTCAGAACGTGACCAGCCTGCATGGGGGTAAACCTTGTCTGTTTTGGAATGAGACGTTTCAGCACCCATACAACACACTCAAATACCCCAACGGAGAGGGCGGACTGGGCAGCCATAACTACTGCAGGTGAGTGGCTGTGATTACATGTACAACTCTCAAGCTAATTTGCTAAACATAATATACATTCTGACACTACACTGTGCACTGATTGTAAGTAGTTTAATAACAGACTCCAGTATTTACTTAAAATGGCGTCATCTCTTGAGGTAAAACTTTGAGTAGTGTTTTTTCAAGAAGTTATGTAAGCATTATTCTACTGAACTATTGTAACCTATCAAGTTCAGTTATACTTTTTTGTGCATAGTTCAAAGTTATCTCTGTGGCTATGACTATCACAATGTCAATTTCAGTCACTCTAAACCAGGGGTCACCAAACGTTTTTCTCTGGGGGCCACATTATCGCTCCTGACTGTGATGGGGGCCGGGGTCAGGTCGGCCGTATAACAGAATTGTATGACCCTGTCGAAGCAAATTATATTCTTTGAAAACCGCCACACTTTCTTCACATATCAGACAAACTGCTTGGTCCTTACACTGAACAAAAAAATAAATCACTCCTCCACTGTTCTTTGAAAACTCAGCACTCTCTGTCAACTTTTCGTACTTTAACACTTGCCATTTTGCTGTCCTTAACTGACTACAGAACTCTGTACGTGCGTTGACTGTCACTGTTTGATCTTGAGCTTGTCAGGTGACGAAAATTTGACGGCAAATGTAAATACATCATATAATTATCTAAATATAATTATACTTCATTTTAATATCATTTTTAATTGATCAACAAATGCAAGATGCAGACGTGTTATTATTTGCCAAAAGTAATTTAAAAAAATAGGCAATGACAACTTTTGAGGATTGCCTTGTAGGGCCAGTTGTGGGGGGCAGAGGGGCTGGGGGGCCGGTCAGAGGGGCCTTAGTTTGATGACACTTGCTCTAAACTGTATTACAACCACGATAATTTCATTTAGTTAAGGAAATGTGTCATACTAGTGTTCAAAGTAAATAACTGTAATCGTTTGCAAATACATTTCATAAGTCTTGTTGCATTAGGTTTACTACAGTTACAGCTCTTCATGTACTGTCTTGTTAGGGATGTACTGATCCATTTCCGATGCAAATATTAATACAATGGCTTTTAGTCAGTGTAGGGATTGAAAATGGCTTTTTTTCCCTCTCAAAATACAGTTAACTTATTACAAAATTGCTCAGATTGTGTTATAAAACTGTTATGTGAACTGCAAGCAACTACTGAACAGCTTTGTATGAATTAAAGGTCAAACATCTTTGTGTCCCGGGCCTACATCAGTCAGTAAAAAGTCAGAATATCAACACAAACCGATATATTCGATACCATTGTTGTATCCCTTCCTTTTGTCATGTAACCTGTAGGTTTCTATATTATGTTCCATTATTTTGGAAAAGTTTGAGAAGGGAGCAAAGGTCATTCACGCATTATTTTGTCTAGCACTTTGAGATTTGTGTGCTAATGTTACATATTATTATTTAAACAATGCCTGACTCCTAAGCCCTCGTCGCCTTGACCTCTCTGATTTAATTTTAGGACAAGCTTACGAATACAAGTCCCATACATCATAACTTACCGCAGAAATATGCAAGTCAATAAGTAGAAGCCATATTCTAATCACATTCCAATGGGCCTTGACCCTCTGAACAAAGCACTTGACTTGTGAATAATTCATACGCAGGTTGCTGTTATTTTTCATCATATTTGTATACAATAGATGCACTGTGGCACTCAGTGAATATTGTATTGGGGGGTACCTTCACAGCACATTTAGCCTTGTCAATGTCAACACAAACAGGTCTGGAGTGTTGGTGTTAGCAAATCTTCACCTCCCTCAGCAGTGTGCAAGCTCTCGAAACTATTTAAAAGTCCTATATTACTCAAAATTGACTCTTGTGAGATTTTAGTTCTGTTATAATAATGCTGTTACATACTGAACATAGCAGGTGTTGTGTTTTGTTTCATTCACACATGTTTGAGTCAAGGGCGTAGGTTTGGTCTCAGCTTTGGTGGGGGACATTATCAGCCAACCCTAACCCTAAGTGAGAGGTGGTTTAATTTTTCAGTTCACAAAATGTACAGTTTGTGTCCATTGCCCTTCTAAGATGATTCTTCACTGGATAACAGTGATGTAGAAGTTTGTAGCAGATTTCCCTTTGCTTGTTGGTGATGAAATATTTGTGAGGTAATGTCGGTACATTTTCCATGGAATATTGTCAATAGAGTCTGGCTGCTAACAGCGCACGAGTAGGGCTCCGTTTGGGAGGTGCTCTTGTGGCGATTTTTCCACAGCGATTCATTATAAGGCAAGTTTAATTGAAGATGAAGCCAAGTAAGTTCCTTTTGAAAATTTTTTCAAAGTTTGGTGAGCAACGTCTTCACTCACGCCTGCTCAAGTCACCATCTTCGGTTGCTGGCACTGTCCTGCCGCTTTCCCAGTTTAGGCTGCTGGCACCACTAATGACATCACTCTGTTGCAGCCAGTGAAATAGCGGCAGGGGTAACCCTGTCGTCATATCACTGAATTTTGTCTTCCCCAAATATTGGTTGTGACATGTCCCCACCATCCCTATGCAAACCTACAGCCTTGGTTTGAGTAACCCTTTAATATTAGTCTGTCTACATGTCACCAACTCTCTTCCACCTTCTAAATCATGACTGTAAGCTCAATTTCCCTGTGAGGATCAATAAAGTATCCATCTATCTATCTATCTGTATATCTATGTCATGAAGCTGTAGTTTTGAGTTAACATCTACCTTTTACCTTTTGTTCAGCAGAGATTGGTAATTCCAGGACTGAAATGAACTAAATAATACAAGTAAAGGTGAATGGAGTTTAAAAACACAGCAGAGCACTTCCTGTATTTCCACATGACATCACAAGGTGGAATGCAGTTTTTTTTTTTAGGAATGCAGGGTCAAATGTGTGTGAATGAAACAAAACACAACTCCGGGTATTTGATGAAGAAATAACATAGATCAGAAAATAGCATAATGGGCTCTTTAAATAGTTGTTTATCAAAAAAAAAAAAAAGCATTATTAACACACATTTTGAATTACACCTGTACTGGGAATGTCTATGGACACAGTGTCTTTGAATGCCCGTAAGAGACTTGACAATTTGGAGTTTTTGCACAACAGTGCGTTAGCCAATTCACAAATTTACACAGCTATTCAGAACAGTGGCTTGGCAGGTTTAACTGGAGAGCCAGACACAGCCCCCTCCTCTTGGGTCCAAAGCCGCTAAAAGATTTTTCTAAGTCATGGTTGTAAACTCATAACGCAGCAATGCTTTGAAGTGGCACCAGGCTGATTTGTTTTTACTAGAACTGGACGGGAATCTCAATGATTTATGTGGGGGACTCAGGCACACAGACCAAAGCTTACACATTGCATTAAACATGATGTGCGATGCTTATCAAAATTCAAAATCAACATCTTTATTGTTTGGGTACAGATGACAGTTTCCATCTCAAACAGCTGTGTCTCTCTCCCTTTCCCTCTGGCACCTGACATGTAGTAACTATTGCAGCTGTTGTCATCAACATTCCCTGCGGATATGAGGCTAACTGAAAGCACTACTCTGTTAGAAGCTCTCTTACTCAAGTTTGATTTTAATCTAATCTTTATTTTAACACAGTCTGATCAGAAAGAGCTGACTTGGTTGGAAATTTCTTTGCTTAAACAAGTCTCTCACACATAAAATTCCAGTCACAAGATAGCACCAGCCAACAATCTTTCAGTTAGTCACCACATTTTTTTGTTGAAAATCACGGGTCAGCCCTATGTTCTCTTATTTCTAAGATTTTTCTCAAAATTAAACTCTAAATCAAGTCATTTTTATTCTTTTACTGCATTTAAAGGGATGATTCAGAGTAATTTCAATTTAGGGTCCTGTTTACATGAGAAAGCCTGCGGGTTAAAAACTAAATATTTTATCAGAAGTGCCTTTCATTTACAAGGTGACAGCGTTTTTGGGGCTTAAAAATGCAAAAATCTGAAACTACCCTCCAGAGTGGAAAAGTTGAATACGCTCTGCCGTAGCGTTTCCGTCTACACTGCCCAAGACGCAAAACTGGTCAGATCTGCTCACGTCGCGTATGTGTTTACGTCACATATGTGTTTACGTCACATACGTCACAACCTCGCAGTCTGGCATGCATACCCAATCAAATTCCACACACTTTTGTGTCACCGTATGCTCTCAGATTTCCTCCTGAAAACGCTTGTCTAAATGCGGAATAAAAAGTGAAGACACGACACCACTTTTGCATCTTCTGTTCAGACCACATCAGTCATCATATAAACGTAGCCTATGATTTTTTGCACCATGACCTCTACAATACATCTGTAGTCAACTGCTGCTGCATAATAGGTTAAATGTAAAAAAAACAAACTGGGAGAAATTGGGATACATTCTGAGGTAAATTGATGATAAAGGAAATATGGGAACATAGGGCCTAATTTTGTATAAAAATAAGTTTAAATTCAATAAAGTCAAAAAAGATGTAATTTAATAAAGGCTCAAATTAGGTAAATCATTAACAAAAAGGTGGGCCCAACTGGGGTAACTTAAATCAAACTGAACAGAACAAAACAAACCCAGCCAGACCAAGAACAGGGGTGTTTAAATATATGAGGACCAACTAAAACTGAACAGAAAGGGGAGAATTACACTAAATAATTAAGTAAAAGTACTAACTTAATCAAAGTAACAAGAAGGCACATAAGTATAATACAGAAAATAATGAGTGATAATAAAGTGACCTTACACAAACTAGACAAACAAACTTAATAACACTAACTAAATAATGTTCCTCCCCTTTGCTCGCCGTGGATTGAAGGTCCTTCGCCTGGTCACTCAAACAAAAAAGAACAAGTGTAAAGAAATAATTCAGACTTATATTCACTAAAATGTGTGCACCCAAATTAGAATACAAGTCTAAATGAAGGAATTAAATTAAACTGTGTGCTCTAATTAACGTAAGGTAAATTAAATGAAATAATACTAACACTGTGGAGTGGTGGCAGAGGAATCCA